GCCGGCACTATGAGTAATTAGGCACCTAGTCCAATTAAATGTACTTTAGATATTTTTTTTTTATCATTGACCAGGATATCACAAAACATTCCGGCCAAAACATTAGAAAGAAAATAATATACAAAATTCGGGATTCGAAACTTGCACTTGACCGCGAGGAAGTCAGTAATTAGATTCGACACTATTTCATGTGATATTATTTGCTATATTTCTTTATTATATAGCTCGGATGTAACGCACGATTTCATTGGCTAAAAATCGGGCTATACTTTCCCGTACGGACCAGATGAAACGAGAAAAAACGTTTTTTATCTTAAAAGGTCTCGCTTTCTCTCTTTTTGTAGTTATACTGTATACAAGAGTCAAAAATGAATCCAAATTTTRCCATCAAGGTTTCTCAGGCTTTTCTTTTTTCCTTCTATTTTGAATGACAAGAAAAGTATGAACAAAAACGTATTTTTAGGTCCGATTCTCTATTAATTTTACTATTTTTACCTGAAAATGCTATATAATCAATATCTTATTAACCTCACTTGCTCGAGCCGTACGGGAAGTTATGGAACCTCGTTACGCGCTCTGGCCATAAGTCAGTGGAAAAAAACTCGGTCCATAACTTCCCGTACGGCCMTCGCGCTCGGTTAATAAGATATTGGTTAATAAGATATTAATAATTATTATTATTCAAACAGGTACTAATTACAATGGATATAATTTGCGATTTTTCGGCCGTCGCGGAAAAACTGATGTACGGACCAAGGACGTATTTAATTGTCTTCGCTTTCTTTTTGAACCTGTGARATCGCTCGCAGGCCAATCAGAACGCGTAATTTCTATATATCGGGCCATAAAAATATCAGTACCACTTTTATTAATTATAAGTCAGTTGATATTGGCATAGTTATCATTTATTATCATGTCTAGTATAAAGAATTTATTATGAAATGATATTGCAGTATAGTTTGTGATATATATATTACAATAAAGCTGTCGGTTTCTAAGTTTAAACTTGTATTATCATTATATTTCGCTATCTTAAAAGGTTGTCGGAGAGAAGGGCGAATGAACGACCGCAAGTTACTATGGGACTGATTATCGATGAAACTATTCGCCCATCAAATGCAGTCAATACTTCACTGCCAAAAAAAATGAAGATCCTTAATGATAGTTACTACGACACAGAACAATGACATAAGCACTACTAACACAAGCACTACTAACACAAGAATGACTGACACAAGCACTACTAACACTAGCACTACTACACAGAACAATGACATAAGCACTACTAACACAAGCACTACTGACATAAGCGTCACTTCCAATAATGACACTAACTTACGCGACACAAACACTA